GTGAATTATTAATGACAGAATTGTAATTTTTGGGTGAACTAACACTTTAAATATAATGTGTGTAGCATCTTTTACCAAAGTCACCTATAAACCAATCTAACGAGCCTCTTAATTCATCATTATACATGCATTTTTGTCCATCCTCAATGAGCAACAAAGCTGCTTTTTATACCAATTCAGTATTTTTGTCTTTGATGTGAATAAATCTATCAATCAAGTAATCATAGGCTTATTTATCTTTTAATCAATATACCACATTTATTCATTTACCAGACAATTTTATCCAATGCAACAAGTCATTTAAAAATCGTATTAAAAGTAATGGCTTCCAATGTAAGCCTCTTCTTAATTAAATATATTTATATTTAATGTATGCATTATTTCTACAGTCTCTTTGGGATGTTGTATGACAAATGTTATGCAGGAGAAGGTCTGGCAAATGCACTCGGCTCTATTTTAAGTTCCCAGAGCTGTAAATTATGCAGAGACTGGATTGTAGCGGATGTGTTGATATCCTCCTCTCACATCTCTGACACACGGTACAGTCAGGGCTAGCAAGCATAACAGCGGGATGATACATGTGAGAAGCTTAGTCACCAAATGAACTTCATACTCAAGTTTGGAGGACGATCACAACTTTATTGTGCTTTCAATGGATTTTTTTTTTAAATTCACATCCCACATTTCACAAATGTAGACATTTCAGACTTTTGCTGCACAACATTAATTCATTCATTTTGCACTGAGTGTTGTGTAGTCACAAAAAGGCTTTTCACACTGCGCTTAACCCCAGGCTGTTCATGGTTATCATCATTCTAAACGCTATTCCGCTTTTAACCCAGGGGTAAAGGAACGTTTCACACTTGTAATTTAGAAGCGGGGTTAGCACCACTTTTTCTCTGGGGTTATGAAACCTACTCGAAAGCATGCAGGGATAGCACCACTTTCGTATTATTAATCCCACATTGCAGTGATAAACTTGTACAGTGCAAGTGTGCCGAACACGTCCTGAAAAGTAAAGCCAAAACATTTCGATCACTCCCTTGTTGCTGGCTGCAGCATAGGTCATAAACTCCGCCCTCTCCATGTAATCGAATAGGACATGTGCCAAAGTAAAAAATCCAATCACACTTCAAATTATTTTTTCCCAAAGATGGTTTCTGTCATATTAAGTTGTTCTTATCACACTGACGTATGTTCAAGTGTTTGTTTTTCCAATAAGTTTGATTTTAGTTAGTTATTTGAGGCTATAGAAATGGGGTGTAACGTCATTGCGATTGAAACTGTGGGAGTGTGGGAGGGACCTTAATACCGCGGCCGGCTACACCACAGAATCACTACTGCGCAGACTCAGGCTCCAAATTACGTAATCTGCACGTCAACGACAGCCATTTCTTCTTCTACAGTGTCTTCATTTTTCTACAGTGGAATATGACACCTCCACTGATTCTATATAGATCAGTGGACACGTCATATATCTTTTTTAGTCTATGGAACAGTGTGAAATCAAACGATGCAGTGCAAGAATGTTACGACTGGATGCTTAGCAACTGACAACCAATAGCGTGCCTCATATATTCATAGTCACAGCACGTTGTATAAACAGTAGTTTCAGCATTTGAGGGGGACAAATTTAAAATGGTGACAGAAAATGCAACAGTTTCATACCTTTATAGTGTGAAAAGTCCATTCAGGAAAAACTTGACAGTCCAGTCGGCAATAAATAGGATATGATGACACGCAATGCTAGAGTCATTATGGAAGCATACGTGGGGCGGGTGTCCAATCAGTGACACTGACACTGCAAATAAGAACGTTAACCCAGGTTGACAGTGTGAAACAGCAGCGTATGAATACTCAGGATTAATTGTTAACCTCTGGTAAATTATGAGAAATGTAAAACATGAAGCAAGGTAGCAGGATTCCATTTACCAGGGGTTTAGAATGACCCATTTCAAGTGTTAAAAGCCCTATAGTCACATATCGCATACCTTCTGTGTTGCCTGGTCTTGCAGCTCAGGAGAATGACCACAAAAACACTTCCAAGTAGCACCAAGGCAGATTGCCTGTCAAGATCCATGCCTGTTGGAATTGAGGATGTGATAAAACATCCTAAATGCACCCCACATTATTGCTTGTTCCATCGGAAATGCATCTGTCATGAAGTGCATTTTATCAGAAGTCTATTCATGGAGCTCAAAATGAATATTTCAGAGAACAAGATGCCTGTTTGACACAGCACATGACACCTGAGCAGAAATGTACTTGCTGAGAATATGCATTGATGCACTGATGTTTGGTTATGGATCACTCAGGTCTTTCAAACGCCAGTAAAACACCTTCATAAAAGCCTTGTACCACAGTACAGCTGTCAGATCATGCAAACCCATTTACACAGCCGCTTGATCCCGCAAGGAATACTAGCTTTTTTTTTACACATTTGAATGCCTCAGTAGAAGTGCATGAAATTACACTTCAAATTGGTATGCTTTTCCCCTCCCTACAGGGAAGGATGCATTCCCACTTCTTGGTACATTAATCAACTGGAAATTGAGACAACGGTTGAACACATTACGGCTGTCAGAGAGCTGAAGACAATGTAGAGCTTCCACTCCCTCAAACGAACCAGAGGGTCTCCGGTATCACTCAGTTCATTAACATTTCATACAGAGAACACAACACAACTGCCCTCTGGAGTGAGACTGTCTTTATTTACACAGACTCTGGCTGCAAGCAGAAGCGGCGAGGAAGGATAATCACACTTTTCTGAACCCGTAACACAGAGGGTTTTATTTCCTAGTGCGTTTACAGAGCCGAAACCGCAACAAATGACCTCAAATCTAGGTTGTCTCCTGTATAGTATCCTTCAAAGAAACATCTCTTCAAAACAAACCATCATCATCATCATCATCATCATCATCATCAAGAAAGAGCTGTTACAAAGCTGTTTGGTTGCCAACATTCTTTCAAACATCTTTTTATATTCCTCACAATAAAAAGTCATACATGGAACGACATGCAGGCGACTAAATGATTTTTGGGTGAACTATTCCTCGGATTATTCCTAACCTGTGCGTATTCTTGAAATGAGATGATGGCTACAGTACGTAATCGTACATTTAAATTAGAAGCGCCTCAACGTAGCGTACTGACATGTGCTTGCATTAGATAATCTGGTCCCCAAGGATTTTTTGTATATTCTTGTTTGCATTATCATATCAATTCAAACATTTTTATATCAAGGGAGGTAAAATTGAAGGTACAATCACAAATTGAAGTGGCCTGTTTGCCTGGGAATTAGTTCACACAAGCATCTAATTCCCATTTATATTCATGTTTCACAGCATTTCCTAAATTAAATATTACACTTTTGTATGGAATACATTTCACTGCACTTATAACTCAACAAAAATCAACAGTAATGAATTTTGAAATGTCTCACATACTGTTTTTATTTAGAGTTATCTCTAAATTGTGCTTAAGATATGCCACAGAGGGCCACAAAAACAGATTGATTCCATGAACAGGGTCACTGAAGTCTGAATCCAAGTTTGCTGGTGCTGTCAAACATGATTAGTGCTTTCTTTAACTACTGAAACAACACATACTTTTAACAGAAACAAGCACAAAGGCATACACGTTTGATAACAGGCATTCTGCTATACACTACAGTTGTGGAAATGGCTGAGATTCACTGGGGGGGGGGGGGGGGGGGGACCCTAGTTGGGACATATTTTATATTTTTAAACCATAGAATATCCCACTATAGCCTATTCTTTAAACAGTTTGGAGTCAGTAAGATTATTTTTTCTTTTTGAAAGGAATGAATATTTATACATTTTTCAAAAGTGACAAAAAAGACATTTATAATGTTACAATGATTTATATTTAATATAAATTGATTCTGTTCTTATAAACCTTATAATTAAAGAAACCAAAAAGAAATGTATAACTTTGAACATTGATGATAATAATAATAAATGTTTCTTGAGTACCAAATCAGCATATTAGAATGATTTCTGAAGGATCATGTGACAAAAGACTGGAGTAATGATGCTGAAAATTCAGCTTTGATCACAGGAATAATTTTTTTTAAAATTATTATATATATATATATATATATATATATATATATAGAGAGAGAGAGAGAGAGAGAGAGAGAGAGAGAGAGAGAGAGAGAGAGAGAGAGAGAGAGAGAGAGAGAGAGAGAGAGAGAGAGAGAGAGAGAGAGAGAGAGAGAGAGAGAGAGAGAGAGAGAGAGAGAGAGAGAAGTTACTTATAATAATAATAATTGTAATAGTTCACAATATACAATATAATGCAATCTTTGTGAGCATAATGTGTCGCCCGGCGGTGTATGAATGAGTGAGTGAATGGGTGAATGTGAGGCAAATGTAAAGCGCTTTGGTGGCCATTGGGTCTGTGAAAGCGCTATATAAATGCAGTCCATTTACCATTTACCATAAGATAGGCTACTTCTTTCAAAGTCATTTAAACAATCTTCCTGACCCCAAACTTTTGAACAGTATATATCAATATTTGCTGAACTACACAAAGGTTATGTGTGATTCTATATCAAATGAATCGATTGTTTCATTCATAATACATTTAATCTAAATCTATGAGACAGAATGATAATGAGCTCAATGAATATTCTTTTTTTAACATTGTGAATGTTAGATGAGAATACAGATTTAGTTTTGATCTGCCCAATACTCCAGAGGAGATTTGGCAGGGATACGAGGTGTGAGACCAGTTGCTTACAGGCCTAGAGAGAGAATTCATATTTTAGAAGATTTGCTCTTAATCTATCTACCTCAACCTTTGCCATCCTTTAGACCTGTCTGTGTCACTTGGACGTCAGATTTGAACAACGCCTAACACAGGGGCATCTTCAGAAAACATCCCAAAGAGAATTGTTCCATCTTAAACTATCCCCAGAGCAGCTGCTAACCGATATGAGATGTAAACAACACAGAGTGTTTGAGAACATTCCTCACCTCCTTGCAGTCATTTTCATAAACTCCCTCCTCATCAGGTAACCACGGCAGAGAGCCTGAGTCATTGTGACCAGAGCAGCCAGTTTCTCATCATGCATCTCCTCAAGAACACCCAGAAGACCAGCTTTGAAGAACACCTGAATTCATGTAAAACAGTACATTTAAATATATTGATTTACCAAAGCTAAATGACCATGATCACTGAATCTTTAAAAGTTGTAAAGCTGAATATTAACCTTTGTGGTTCCAAATTTGTACTCGTCATGATTAACGTCGATGGATCCCAGGAGATTGATCTTGGCTTTCATCTCCTCTCTTTTTGTATTCATTACACATGAAACTACTTCACACTGGCCTTCTTATTATCCATAAACTGTCCATCTGGGATAACACTAGCATTCAGCACCTTGTATCTACGTATCTATGAAGATGGTAAGATGTATCAAAATGCTTTATCATACAATTGTACACTCTAAATACTTTTTTTAGTATTATTACTGGATTTAGTGGTTTCTTACTGTATCAACTGTTTGTATTATGTTTCTGTCAATTCTGTCAAAGAATCACATGCTCACCAAGGCTGAATTTATTTGATCAAAAATACAGAAAAAACAGTAGTATTGTGAAATATAATTTACAATTTAAGAATAACTTATTTGTATAATTAGCGGCCCTTACTCCTAGTCTAATATGCTGATTTGCTGCTAATTTAATATTATTATCAATGTTGAAAACAGTTGTGCTGCTTAATATTTCTGCCAAAACCCTGATACATTGTTTTTCAGAATTCTTTGATAAATAGAAACTTCAAAAGAACAGCATTTATTTGAAAAAGAAATATCTTGTAACATTTAAAACTGTTGTTAATGTCACTTTTGATCAATTTAATGAATCCTGGCTGAATATTATTTTCTTTTTTTTTAAAGGAAGAAAATCATACTCACCCCAAACTTTTGAATGGTAGTAGCCCTATGTATATTTATATTATGTGTATTCTTCCCTATTAAAAAAATGTCTTATATAGAACCCTGTAGCATAACATGAGCCAAAAATCCATTTTCTATTCCTATAATATTATTTACATGTGTGAAAATGCGAACATGATTGAGGATCGGACCTTTTGGAAAGATGGTATAAAACAACAGATTAAACAGTGCCTCAATTTCCAACCAGCTGATCATGGAGTCACACTCGATTACTATTAAATCAATACATCTTAGCCGCTGGTGGCTTGTCTTTGCTGTAAGGTAATTATACTTTAATTCAAGTCACATTTTACACTCTAGCTTGATCCTATTAAAGAGTGAGATGGCAATGGCCTTTGCTCGCTAAACTATAATCTGCATCTACGCCTGCCACCTGATGTTTCGCGTAAAGACTAAATCGTAATAAACCTCCAGGCCTTCAAAACCACACAACGACAGAAAGGCAGGTTCAAACGGTGTTCTGTTACGTTACACACATGACAGACTGAAATTAATTTCATCATAACTGTAATGAGAGCACTGAACATTGAAGAGGAGAATGATGAGTAATCACTATTAAATACAGTAGCTGTGTTAATCATAATATGTCTTGATGCGTTTATTGGTGGAAAAATTAGCCGACTAGTTTGAGTTTTTAAAATATTGAATGTTTCATTGCTGTGGCATCCTATACAGTTTTACAGTGCACTCTTGGTGCTCTAAAAGAGCATATCTTTATTGAGAATCATTGCTTTTCATAGTGTCTCATTTCTCAGTGACCTTTTCCTCATACTGTCCTTGGGGAAGGAAAGACTTGAAAATGCATTTCACACATCAGACTAAATTTATGCAAGATTTCCGTCTACTTTGACCCATTTACCGTGACACTTCTTGAGCCTTCTGCCTCACGGTTATCTGCAGATGTTAATATTTGATGTATGTGTGGTCAAAAGGACCAAGGTGAACCTCAAAACTGCTGAGGCTGACAAGTGTTATAAAAGAAGCTGTTCATTTTTCATCCCTATGTTTTTGCATGAGAATAATAATTGGAGGGGTTTGCAAAGAAATTTTAAAGCAGAACTACAAATAATGAATCCTTTCGGAGACATCGCAATAAGAAAAAAACAAAAAAAATCAGCTCATTTTAACAAAATGTTGCAGTCTCCTAATTATAGTCTTTCTCCCGCAGTATTACCTCCAATTACAGCACAACACCTCCTCTTCTAACGTCCCTTGCTGTGTCAACCTGATCAACACGGTTTTTTTACGCCAAATTACACCTACCACCCAACCAATTTATATTTAGTAAATGAAGACATTTCGGTGTACTTATTTGTTTATTTACTTGTCGGTTTGACAGCCTCTCCAAATAATGATTTTAAAGAAATGTTCTCATAAAACTGGTATTTATGCAGCAAATGCACAGAGCAATATGAGCTAATGGACTGTGTCGGTGGGTAAGGTCATGCTGCCAGGCAGATGGCTGGAGAGTGTTGATCAACAGCCTTATTAAAGGTAACAAAAAGGTCTGGATTTGTGGGACCGTGACTGCATTGTTTTTGGAAAATTCTGATGCTCACATTAACCTGCAAATTTTGTAAATATGGAACACAAGTTAATCTGTAGGTAAACAAGTTTGATTAATATTTGTGTTCAGCTCTGTTTTCAGTCATCTGCCTCATCCAGGAGGGTGACGAGTCTGCATACAGATAAGAGGTCGAATAACTGGCTGTCTGGGGCAGTCATAATAACAACCTGGAGCTCAACACACAAAACAGTGGAGATGATAGTGGACTTTAGGAGGAAGAGAAACACCCCAGCACTCCCCCACTCACCATCATGAACAGCACTGTGGAAGCAGTGGTCATTCAGGTTTCTGGGCACCACCATCTCACTGAAGTGGGACAGTCATAGTGGGACTCCATAATGAAAAAGGCCCAGGCCCAGGCCAGTTGTACTTCCTTCGCCAGCTGAGGAAGTTCAACCTGCCACAGAAGCTGCTGATACAGTTCTACTCAGCCATCAGAGTCTGTCCTATGTTCATAGCTGTCTGGTTTGGTTCAAGCACCAAATCAGACATCAGGAGACAACGGACTGTCCGGAGTGAGGAGAGGATTATTGGTGCCCCCCTTCCCAGCCTCCAGGACCTGTACTCTTCCAGAGTGAGGAAAGGGGCAGGTAAAGGGCAGTCCACTCACCCCGGCCACAACCTTGATGCCATCCGGACGGCGCCTCAGAGGCACTAGAACATCTAGACACAGGAACAGTTTCTTCTTACAGACTATTTCCCTCTTGAAAAATGTCAGTGTTATGACGGTGGAAGGTGAACCCAGGCACAGACAGGATGCAGTGACACAAAGTTTATTATAGACAGAAAACAGAGAAAACAAAACCCACGAGGGGGCAAAACATGAACAGCAAAAGAAATAAGACTAGACTAGGACTGAAAAACTAGACCATAAACTAACTACAGAAACAGGATAAGTAATTCTCCAGACAAAACTCTCACAAGGTACTCACAGGTAAGTTTAACACGGGTAGAAATCACACTATGAGAAACAATGAACCGGCACAGGACAGCAAACACAAGGGGATCAAATAGGGAACACTAATGACGAGGACAGGTGAAACTGACTAGACAATAATGACGAGACGAGGATAACAAGGGGGCGGGGTCACGTAACAATACAACACAAGCACATGGCCGAACAGCCATGCGCTTGCACACAAAACATGATTCTGTCATGATCCTGCCTCACGACTAGGAAAAATCAAGGGCAAGAGGGCAGAATCATGACAGTCAGGGGGCGTGGACTTTTGTCTATCGATAACTTATTGGATTGTTGGATAGTTGCTATGATCTCAATCGAGTAGCAGGTTTTGATGAAAGATTACGAGGGCACATTCATTTATATAAAAAAAAAAGATGTGCACGGATAAATCATTTATAATAAATACTTCAATATTCCACAAATTTTGATTTCATGACGACTTTAATTTATATTGGGAGTAATAAATATATACTATTATTTGTGCTGTATGTTTCAGGAAACTTACACTAGAGCAGATCTACATGGCAACATTTACACATTAATAATTAAGTTATTAAACAGGATGCGTGTCTTTGGCTAATAATCCCAGGGTTTACCTGAAAGCAAATGTACGAACAGTGTGACATATCAAACATGATAACCGAGGATTCTGTTTACCCTGGCTTAAGAATGACCAAAGTTAACAATTTCAATTCTGAAAAGGCAATTTGTTTTTTTAGTAGAGCTAATGGAGTTTGACCCGTGATCTACAATACAAGAGTGACGTCTAGTGGTTACAACATTTGTTCACACAATACATAAACCTATTGAACCCAGATTTATTCTTTTGTACCCCCTAATAATAGGTAGTCTACAAATATTTTGTCTTGATAGGATATAACATAGGCCTATATATTATAATTTAACATATGAGTCGCAAATTTCTAGCATAAATAAATAAATATTTAGAAAAGGCCAAACGTTCGAGATGTGACTGGTCCATTGCATTTGCATCTGAAAAGCTTCGCACAAATGTTTTGTAACAACAGCACGAAACCATACGGTCAGAGAAGACAGACAGGGAGACAAGAGACGACAAGCTGAGCATTCCACTGGGTCACCGACAACAATCATTTAATATCTGGATGGATCGAGAGTTCCGCGGTGTGTTTATCGACACTGCTGCATAGTTTTATCTGTAAAATGCACCGGTAAGTGAAACGCTATTTCAACTGCCACAGTGGACGTTTACTTATATATGCGACGCAAATCTTAATGAATAGGCCTATTCTAACGATCAAGCCTTTATATAGCGGCAGTTCCAAGCCCAGGGTTATCATAAGTATGCTCAAAAACAATCAGATGTCTACATTTAACGTTAACGTTACTGTAACTAACAAATTTGCTTGTGGAGGACCGACCGTTCTAGTATTTTGTCACATAATGCTTTCCGTCATGACTAGTTCGAGTCTGAATCCTTTCCGCGAATCGATTCTTTCGATCAGTTTTTTTTGTTTGTTAACAAGTCCAAAACATCAAAGCATTAAGGCAATACAGATAAACATGCAAACAACAAAACAAAGAAGACAAAAAGATACACATACAGATGTGTTGCCTGGGTAATGTAATGTAATAGCTACATTTACACATTAAGAGGAAAAAAGGATGAATATATTGTTCACTGCTTTGGGATTTGCAGAGCTTTGGATAGTTTCCATATAGGCCTACTTGTCTAGATCATCTTTGAATAGAGAAAAAATTGGTTTAGAGCCAGTCAATTGTTGTTTATGTATGGCTAGTAGGAAACAAATTAATTATGTAGCCTAATATTTCCCTATATTCTCTTTTTTGAGTAGTCAAACAATACAAAGAAAACCTCTTTAAAACAGAATGAAAAGTCACTTACAAAATAAGATTGTATAAACATTAACAAATCTGACCAACATTTCTCTCTGTGTGTGAGTGCATTGCCAAAACAAGTGGATTATCATCTTCCTCAGAAGAGTGACAAAAGCAGCAATTAACTTCAATGTCCGACTCATATTTCCTAAGAAAGGCTTTGGTCGGCTAACATTTGTGAATTAATTAAAATGTTATTTCTTTTACTTTATTGATAATGAGGCAAAGACCATACTTTCTCCAAAAATTCTCTACAATATTATTCAAATATGGTATTACACAAGGAATTGTTATTATCTCTCTGGAAGAGAGCTCTTATTTTATAATTATTCTTTTGTCACTCTACAGAAAAGCATATATTGTGTCAGTTAGGTTCAAAGGGTAAGTAGGCCTACATGGCCATGGAAATGTCCCTTGCAAGAGTAAGACACTCCATAGGGAATGGCATTGGAAACAATGGCATATTCATTAGCAGTTATAGGAATTTTATATTTCTTTAAAAAAAATCTGAATAGTTATAAAATCATGCGAGTTAAAAACTAAAAGAAGTTTTTTGAACCAGCTGTCAAAGAAAAGTGATTTATTCTTGTAGAGAATATCCTTAGTTCCATAATTAATATATGTGTGGGGGAAAGTTGTGTTTGTGTATTAGGGACCAGGCCAAAAGCATCTGCTAATGGAAATTTAAAAAAGTTTGATATGGATCTTTGTAACATCCAGGCCACCAACTTTAGAGAAAATATAATTAGGGATAATTCCAAAGTGAAGAGGGATTATTAAGGAAATTTTAAGTCAATTAATTTTAAAGTGTTGTTTAAGGTAGTAAAATAAAATTAGTAGGCTACTGTTTTTCTAATAGGCCTAAAGTAATAATACAATTCTTTTATTTTTCCAAACAAAATTATTTAACATGCTTTCAAGCTTTTTTTAATGTTCCTTTATCAACTTCCAAGGAGAGATCTTCATGCAAGTCTCGACAATCTTTCAGCTTTAGAGAGTAAAATTCTTCGTCTTATATCGACAAGTCTCTCAGCTGAGCTAAGAATTGAGTTTCCTTTGGGTTTTCATTTTTAGGGTCGATATTTAGTTTAGCTAGCCTACATCTTGTTTGTTGGTCTTTATTAATTGTAATTCCTAAGAATGTAAGTTGTGTCATCATCAGCCAGCCCAGCTGGCGAATGATAGTTTGTCAATTGTAACTAACGTTACTAACCTATAGAAATATGCAGAGCTAAAAATTGAGAGGCAAGCAAGAATAAGCATGTCTAACTCCATGTGACAAAATGAATATTGGTGAATATAATAGCACCACTATTATTATTTCTATATAATATCCTGATGGCTCTACAAACTGATTTAGTTACTTACTTTTCGCGCCATCACTCAAATCATCGGTGCACTATTCAATCGTCGGTTCTGGTTCTCGGCTGACAGTAATTCATAGAAAAGATCCGACTCAAAAGAATGATTCATTCACGAGATTCGGACATGGCTGGTGACGTCATATTCAAACGCCATGATCGACACAGTCTCTGTGTGTGTTTGTTGTGTTAGCATGTTTTTGGGTTTCACTCAGCTCAGATGTTGCTAAAAAGAGTCGTTTTACGATAAGAGGACGTTACATGCCTCTACACACTAATTCTAATTATGTCAGACCAGGCATATCTCCAGAGTAAGTTCATATATGGATTATGAGTTTTGACTATGCCGATGACTATCAAAACAAAACGGCATGATACTATTATTATCTATTTGAACATTTTCAGGGTTTTAACAGACTAAATAATGAAATTATTAAATATATCATGGAATGTTTAAATAAATAAATACATTGAAATGTATATCATGTCGAAAATTAGGTCATTTTTAATTAATTTGTACATGTAGTTCATTGTGCTCATTTATTGATTGCAATTGCAGTTTAACTGTGGATTTTTTTATATAACTATTGTAACCACGGGTAAAAGCATGAGTGACTCTTGAGTTCCATGCTTAATTTCTAACTATGATATTAGAAAAAAAATGTAGCATAAACACATTTACAATACAAACCATAATTGCTATAGTAAAAAAAAATCTTAATAAAAATTCTTATTTATAATGATTCTACAATATTTCAGGCAAAGTTAGTGTAATTGTTTCATAGTAAAACCATGGTAAATATTTCTAAAAGTTTGCTCTGTGGTATAATGAATGAGGTTTTCTTTCCTCTTGCAGTCATCCCATGTTTGGCCGTTACCTGAGCACAGTGAGCTTTCCACCAGCTCAGACCGTTTACAACCACTGGAGACACTGGTATCAGCCTAGTTATTTATGGTGGACTCAACCACCTCACCGGCAGCATCCCTCTTCCTCCTTCAGCACTGTCAGACACCTCTCCAACAGGCCCCCGAGACCTCCGGATCCGTACAACTGGAGTTCCTGGAGGCGATCTGAAATATTGCCACACACTCAACCCAGACGAGGCCTTCACCTTTCTGCATTTCTGATGGACCGCTCTGATCGGGAGCCACCTCCAAAGAGGAGGAAGAGCGCGGATGGGAGGCCGGCAGTGGAAAGATCTCAACGCTCACCCGAATGTATACCTCCAAATGGCAGCAGGAGTCCAAAGGGAAGTCCTGAATGGCTACGAAGTGTAACCGGTATTACAGTGCCTCCTGGGAAATTTCCTTCGAGCCCAGAGAGGATTGCAGCCACACCAGGTGAATAATTTGGATGTTCCTTTTAATTCATATTGATGTATTGGTATGTAGTTGTGCATAAAAAGCCAAATCCACAATCTTTTCACTTCACAGAGTTGAAGAGACAATGGGAGGATCTTTCTCAACTTTGTAATGCTGCATCTGCGAAAGGAGGGAAACAAAAAGGGCCATTTGATTTTTCTGTGATGTCCTACAATATCCTCTCGCAAGACCTGCTCTGTGATAACACGTACCTTTACAGACACTGTGATCCTCCCGTTCTGGACTGGCGTCATAGGTTTTCCAACATCATCAAAGAGCTGGAACAACACAGTGCTGATGTGAGTGAATGGGCTTTTCTTGAAATAATCATTTGTCGAATATTGTCATTATTTCTCATTTCCACGTAAAACTTATTTAGGTAAAATTGCTGGATTAAATTTTCTGGCCTTTTGAGTTTAATACCTTACATTGTTACCAGTCACACATCACTGCTAAAATTCCATTCAGAACTGTCTGACTGGCTTGAACTCTTTGCCAGCAAATTTCTTACTTCAGAGTGTACAAACATTATACATTCTAGACTAGAGCCTTTCATATTATTGTTATGTAATGGTAGGGATACACAGATATTAAAATTACGGCTTATTTATATAATATAAATAAGCCGTTCATGTTATGACTGATAACGGTAAATGTCAGGTTGGATACATTGATTTGCTAAAGATTACATTTAGCAGAGTTAAAAAGACTAACTTTAAGTGAGTCTTAAATGCCTAACGATGCTTTGTTGTTATATTCAGTGGACAAGAATGGATGATTTTCTTAAAATATCTGCAATCACTTCTTTTCCTATAGATAATGTGCCTGCAGGAGGTGCAAGAGGACCACTATAAACAACAAATCAAACCCTCGCTAGAATCTTTAGGTACTTGCTTTACTTCCTTGATGACTCTTTATTTCTCTTTAGTTTTGTTTGTTTATTTTGTCTATTTTAATATTTTTTTAAATGTAATTTTTTTTGTGATGGCAAAGCTGATTATTAACATCGGCTACTATGCTGATTTGGTGCTCAAGAAACATTTCTCATTATTAACAAAATGGTAGTGATGCTTATATATATATATATATTTCAGGATTCTTTGATGAATAGATGATTAAAAAGAACAGCATTTATTTGAAAAAGTTTTTGGGATTCCAAATCGTGTGTAAACCTGGCAAGTTTTAGGGATTTTCAAATATTAAAACAAAGAAACATTATGATGATATTGTAAATAATGAAAAAAAAATTAGAACTAGATTGCAAAATAACATTTTCACAAGTGGACTCTTTTTAATCATACTGTATCAAATCAATAGTGAGGAATAGGACTTTTAACGCAGCAATTATCTGCCCTTAAAACAGGCTACCATTGTGAATACAAACGGAGAACGGGACTTAAGCCTGACGGATGTGCTGTGGTCTTCAAACGTGAGCGCTTCTCTTTGGTCTCCTGTCATCCTGTGGAGTATTTCCGGCGTGGCATCCCTCTCCTGGACCGTGATAACGTGGGCCTGATTGTTCTGCTGCGGCCCGTTGACCCTCATAGCTCTCTCACCAACGTCTGTGTGGCCAACACACATTTACTGTACAACCCTAGGCGCGGTGACATTAAACTGGCCCAGCTGGCTATGCTGCTGGCAGAGATAACCCGGGTGGCCCAGTTACCTGACAGCAGCGTTTGTCCTGTGCTGCTCTGTGGGGATTTTAACTCCATTCCCTGGTCTCCCCTGTATCGCTTTATTAAGGACAGCAGACTGGACTATGATGGCATAACTATTGGGAAGGTAGAGAATCTTGGGGCATTTCCTTGCTTTTTAACTTTTCAGATTATGCCTGCGTCCGAAATCGCATACTCTCTTGAGTAGGTACTTAATTTGAATAAGTAATTACTTCACAACCGCTAAAAAGTATGTTCCATATAGTATGAGTGTGTGTAGTATGAATGTTATCTGGACGTACTACATTCGCCATGATGTCATTATCATGTGACCCACCAGCGTCAGTTACGTCGCTTCACCTCCATTCATAATTCCCCTCCCATGGCATCATGGGATAGTAAAGTGTCCATCGTATGCGCACTTCAGAATCTCGCCAGAAGAAGTAGGTCATCCGGGTACTTTTTGTCTACTCTTTTATGAGTACTGTGAATTTGGACATATTTCTTTAGTCAAATACTGTTTTTTGCCTACTATATAGTAGGGAAGTATGCGATTTCGGATGCAGCCACAGTTTTGGCATCTCTTAAATTTCCTGACTTGATTTTGCAGGTGTCAGGACAGGAGGAGAACCCAAGAGGGCAGCGTATTCTAACTGTGCCAATTTGGCCCAAATGTCTGGGCATCTCTCAGCAGTGCCAGTACGAAAGCCAAACAACAGGTCACCTTTCAGCCCTTATTACATATCATATAATGTAAACAGATAATAATCATTTCTAAGAACATTTGAAAACTGTAACAACAAACATTATGTTCCACAGTGTATTTTAAGTGTTATTTCTAATAACCACTGTAAAAACAGTAATATTTTGAAATATTATTACTATTTTAAAAAGCTGTTTTCTATTAAAACAGCATTTATTTGGAATATAAATATTTTATAACAATGTAAATGGCTTAAGTGTGACTTTTGATCAATTTAATGCATCCTTGCTGGATAAGAGTATTTTTATGGGGATACCATTATGGGGATTTTTTTTTTTTTTTTCTGCTCTGTTATTAACAGTTACAGCAAATACAGTAACCCCCAAATATAGTTATGTCATAAATACAAATGTATGATTGTTATCAGATTAGATTCAAAATATCAAACAAAGTGGCATGTGAAAATAAATGATGCCAGACCTTTTCTTAAAAGACAAACATTTTAGTCATTTTTGAAGTGAATTTTAACTAGTTGGTGACATTGAAAAAGGATTTATAATGCATGTATTCTGTAATTTAGGGCAAAGTATGTTACTTCATCTGGTTTATTCTAGTGTCCAAATACATCCAAATATGTATCCAATATATCTATTGTTTTATCATTTAAACTTTAGGCAAATGCCATGCCACTTACTTTGAGATGCAAATACATACATTGGCTTAAGTGTCCAAATACTTTTTGGGGCCACTGTATGCACTTTGAAAGCAACTTTGACACTTAGTGTTACTATACATTACAGTGTAGTATAGTGTAATATTGATATTGGCATTCTGGAATAGCTTTAAATATGCAGCTGCTAACATTTAGATTGAATTATTTTCACAGATTCTGATTTGAAGGATTTGGAGCAAACAGAACTGGATGGGTAAATATAAATCCCAATATATCTCTACAGTGCCTTGCTTGATTTACTCATATAAACCCTTGCCCCTAGTTTCTGTAGCTCCTTTTGTGTTCCTTAGCTGTTGACGTTTTAAAATCTGACAGTCAGTGCTGTTCAGCAAATTTAAGGTGAAGAAATTTGACAGCTCCTGTGATGTCTTTTCTCAGTGTGTCGAACCTAAATGTTTTTAACAGTAATCGTTCTTCTCTCATGTGATCTGTTTAGTAGTTTCACCGAGCCCAGCATAGAGCACGGTTTAAACCTGACCTCTGCGTACTCCCACTATCTTAAAGAGAGCGGTCAATCTGAGATCACCACATGTCACTCACGTACAGCCATCACTGTCGATTACATCTTCTACTCCGCAGCTCTGGGGGATGTGATGGCTCAAGCAGGTTTGACCATTACATTACTATTCTCTTTCCTAGGAAAATACTCAATAGTTGTTGTTTAATGTAACATTTCATTCAGATGATTTATTACTACCCCTATTGCGTTTGCTGTCGCCACATGAATATGTATATCCTCAAAGTAGAAGCTGATGCCACTAGACTATCAATGTAAATGTTACATCACCACTCCTGTAGTCATGTGACCTGTGATGCTGCAGTTTGCTGCAGTGCAGTACAGTACATTCAACAGCAAAATTTCTGCTGCTGCTGCTGGTTACCAACTTACAAACATAGTGTTTTTTCCCCCCCTCACTTACCCAGAATGCAGTGTGCCACCAGAGAAGGGTCTGCAGCTGCTGGGCAGGTTAGCCCTGGTCGGGAAAGATGAACTCCATGAGGTTAATGGCCTTCCCAACCAGCATAACTCCTCTGACCACCTGCCGCTTTTGACACGCTTCCGTCTAAACCCTTGAGCTGATGGCTGACAGAACAAAAAGTGTTTGCGATGATCCTACAGCCTTTAAATCCTTTTGTGGCCAGAAGATAAATTGTTTAACAAACTCACAGTACAATGTAAATCGTTTTTTCACACCAGCAAAGAAATGATTCACAGATTCTCTTAAAGGAATAGTTCATCATTTACTCACCCTCAAGTTGTTTCAAACCTGTATGAATGTCTGTCTTTTGTTGAACATACTCATAGTATGGAAGTCAATGGGGTCCATCAACTGTCTGGTTACCGAATTTAAAAAAAAAAAAATCTTCCTTTGTGTTAAGCAGAAGAAAGAAATTCATACAGGTTTGGAACAATTTGAGTGAGAGTAAATGATGACAAAATTTTCATACCCGATACCTGATTTTTCCAGTTAAAGAGTACCATTTCTTTAATGTCTGTTAATGCAAGGGGTTTAAGAGACATGACAAAGAGGAAAAGTATTTTTTTATTTTGCAAGGGAAAGAAGTCTAATATAATTTTTTTGCAAGAAACGCATTCTAATGTCGATGATATTAGTTTCTGGAGTAAACAATGGGGAGATGAAGCTTACTTTAGCCACGGTTCTTCACGGTCAGCAGGTGTCGCCATCCTCCTAAATAATTTCAAAGGTCATATTGTGTCCCATAAGGCAGATGAGTTTGGTCACTGGCTCATTCTTATTATAAACGTTGATGGTCTGAATTGCATCTTAGTCAACCTTTATGGTTATAACATTAGAAGAGAAAACCGAAACCTACTGGAACAAATTGGCTTACATTTAGATAATCTTAAATTAACTCACTCAACTGATAACATCATAATTGGAGGTGATCTGAACCTAGTTCATGATGAATTTTTTGATAAATATCCTCGCAGACACTCTGCTAGTCACCCAAACACCATATTTACAAACTTTTGCGATAAACATAATTTGGTTGATACTTGGAGACACTTTAACCCAGAAATTTCTCAATACTCCTGGTTTAGCTCAAGTCACAATTTTAAATCCAGAATTGACCACTGGTTAATTACGAATAATTTACTGCTTTATAATATTAGCTCTAATATTTCTGCTGCACCACTAACGGATCATTGTGTTATTTTACTACAGATCAAACCCAATGATAACAATGTTTACTCACACACATATTGGAAGTTCAATTCTAGCCTGCTCAAAAATAATGACTACTGCCAGAAAATCAAACTGTTAATTAAAGAAATTGCCAATTCTGAGGAGCTAACAACTGCTACCAAAAAGTGGGAATTCCTAAAATATAAAATACGCCAATTTACTATCTCATTCAGTATAATAATTAAAAAAGATAATGAAAAACAAGAAGTAGACATTATTAATCAGTTAAATTTTTATTGCAATAGGCCAAACCAAACGGATGACGATAGACAGAAGATATTAAATCTCCAACCTAAATTGGATGAAATTTACAGTCGTAAGGCCCTAGGAGCCTTCATTAGATCAAGGGCTAAGTGGATTGAGGAGGGAGAAAAAAATTCAGCATATTTCTGTGGTCTGGAAAAAAGAAGACAGGGGAAAAATTGCATCAGATCCTTGATAGTTGATGATAATGAAGTCACAGATGAAAAATTGATCTCTTCAGAAATCTGGAATTTTTATAGCCAGCTTTACAGCTCTAAATTTTCTAATGTGGACTGTAAAAACTTTTTTCAGGAAATAGCACAACATATTCCCATAGTAGAGGATAGCTTCAAACAAACATGCGATAACCAAATAACAATTACGGAACTGGATGCAGTAATTGGTCGGCTCTCTCTTAACAAAGCTCCCGGTTCTGATGGTATCACAGGTGACTTTTACAGACATTTTTATGTAGATTTAAGAGACATGCTGCTACAAGTCTTTACTGAAATTTTTGAAACATGCGTGCTTCCACCAACAATGAGACATGGTGTTATCATCTCAATTCCAAAACCTGGGAAAGATCCCAGAATTATAGATAACAGAAGACCCATTACACTTAGAAATTCAGATTACAAACTCCTAACTTACATCTTCACTTATCGTCTTCGAACAGGAATATCAAACCTTATTGCAGACACACAGTCAGGGTTCTTAAAAGGGAGGTCAATCCATAACAATATAAGACTGGTAATGGACATAATTGAGTATAGAAGCCAAATAGAGGATGATGGTTTCCTTCTCTTTCTAGACTTCTATAAAGCATTTGACTCTGTGGAGCACCCATTTATTCTTTCGGTACTAGAACACTTTGGATTTGGAGTCAAATTCAGAGAGTTGGTTGGTGGATTATATAGAGATATTAATAGCTGTGTCCTATTACCTAGTGGTACCACCCCAAGCTTCAAGATTAATGTGGGTATTCCTCAAGGATGCCCCATCTCACCATACCTATTTATTTTAGCCACAGAAATGCTAGCAATTTATATTAAAAACTGTCATGATATTAAAAAACTTAATGTACTTGGCACAGACATAATAATCAGCCAACTAGCAGACGACACAACAATATTCTTAAAAGATAGATACCAAATCTCAACAACTATTGCCAAAATTGAAAAATTTTCCAAAGCCTCAGGCCTAACTTTAAATTTAAAAAAGTGTGAATTGATGGCAATACATGACACTTTACTGAAAGACATCTGTAATATTCCTATTAAATCCGAAATTAAATACCTGGGGATTTATCTAACCAAGGACCAAAAACAAAGCCAACTTCTGAATGTAGAAAGTAAAATTAAAGAATGTAAGTCACGACTAAATATATGGCTACAGAGGGACCTATCAATTCTAGGACGAATTTACCTAACTAAGATGGAATGTTTATCGAGATGTATTTACCCAGCCTATTCCAGTGCCATTCCAAACAAATTAATTAAATCTATCAACCAAATCAACCTAAACTTCGTTTGGAGAAACAGACCACATTATATGAAAAAAAGCAATATGGTTAAAGACACAAAGGATGGAGGACTAAAAGTTATTGATTTTGACTGCCTTAATGGAACCTTAAAAATAAATTGGTTAAAATCTTGGATCAAACACGGCAACTCCTTTTGGTATTGTATTCCAAATACTTTATTCAAGAAAATAGGAGGTTTAGATTTTCTGCTTAGAGCGGACTTTAATGTTGACAAATTACCTATATCCTTATCAGAGTTTCACAGACAAATACTCTTGTATTGGAAAATGTTGTACGTACACAACTTCTCACCCCACACGTCTGTACTATGGAACAACAGATATGTTCTGCACCGCAACAGATCTCTGTTTTTTGAAGATTGGTATGGGAGAAATATATGGTCCATAGCTGACTTAATGGATATCAATGGTCATTTCTTAAATTATGAACAATTTGGCATCAAACATAATTTCCAACCCTTAAAATCAGACTTCACTAAATTACACAGAGCGCTACCCCAACAATTTGTCTTTCTAATAAGAAACACTTTGGCATATTATCCAATACAACCACAATTGGCCTCACTATCAATTCAAGGGATCTGTATTCTAGATAAAAAATGTACTAACCACTTTATTAGAAATTGTTTTACTGAATACCTTTACCCTGAAAGGCAAAATAAAAATAACATCATTCAAAAATTTGATAAAGATTCAATTACTAAACTAAGAACAATGTATCTAACACTCCCTATACCCCCCAAAGTGAAAGAAACTCACTTTAAAGTAATGAACAACATTTATCCCTCCAAGGAATTACTGAGACTTCGCTTTGGTATAGATGATAACACTTGTACATTCTGTGAAAAGGGTGTTGAAACTACGGACCATGTGTTTTTCTCATGTAATGTAATACAGATATTTTGGTGTGATGTACATAAATGGATTAAGCAGCAGATATCTTCATTCCCAACCTTTATATCCAGAGACGACATTACATTTGGTTTGATTCTGCAAAGCAAGGATGTTGAGTTGTGTATTAATACAATTGTATGTCTAGCTAAATTCTTCATTCACAAGTGTAGAATTGTGAAATCATCTCCCAAATTTGTTGTTTTTTTAAATGAATTTAAACTGTATATAAAATCCTTAAAAACTCTGAAAGGTCCTAAAGCTCAAAAAATATATGATACCCTAAAACACTTCCCAACTGAGATAAATGGATGAAAAAGTCTGAATTTACCCCTTATGTCATGGATGTTTTATCTACATACTTATTATTTATTTATTTATTATTATTATTATTTTTTATTATTATTATTATTATTATTTTTTTAATGTTTTATTTTCCTTACCAATATCCTATTTTGTAATTGTCTACATTACATTCGTGTTGTATTAAGTGCTGCTCCCTCTGGCTATATTTTTCTTATATCCTATGTTGTAAAAAAGGAAGTTATGCAGCCATGTTTGTTTGTAAATCTTGATATTCAATAAAAAAAAAAAAAAAAAAAAAAAAAAAAAAAAAAAAAAGTCTGGCTACGCGAGACTACCCTGCACCCAGAGTCCCGCATTCTCAGACCCCTCGTTTTTCGAGACAGCGCCTCCTATCAAATTGTATCGGATAAACATGTGAAGAACATGTGAAGAACTTAAGCCAAAACGTGAGTAGGCTATCTTCAATTTTATTTAGCGAATCGTAGTAGCCTACTCGTTTGATTTATTTTTTAATAAAACTAATTTAGCTCATCGATACAACATATGAATAGTCCATTTAATATTTGTAAAGATAGTTTGTAACAAGATTTGAGCCGTTAATGTATGTTTTTTCGCCCTCTTCCCCCCGAAAATATTTTGATAGCTAACGTTAGCCTATAACCTTGGGCTTTTTGTAGATATGTCATAAATGCTGCAGTGATTTTCACTGCCCATTTTGTGCCCCCATATATTTCAAACCCACAAAGTTGTCCAAAGTTCAAAAACATCTCAAGGGACACTTCAACAGAGCAGTGCAACATGAAGGTAACATTTGCAAACATCTTTTTTCTTTTTCTTTTCTTTCTTTCTTTTTGAAACATCATAAGACATGTGCTATCGGGCCTATACTGTTGTAGGCTATTCCAGGGTACACCATACATCGATGGAGTCGCCCCTGCCGAACCCAGCAACATATCATTTTATGATTATGCAAAGCGACTTATAAATTAGTTTTTTAATGCAATTGAAGACGAAAAGTAAAGTCACGAACACAGTTTTTT